GATCCCAAAGCCTGGTACCTACAATGGATCTTTTAAGGAAACCAGAATAAAAACCCAACTGATTTAGAAGGCGTGGCAAGTTTGAACACCAAGGAATAGAACATTTTTAAGGTTTCAACACACTCCTTTTCTTCCTTGTTTGTTTTTACACCAGCCCCACCCTAAGTTCCTGCTGGTGCAATGGCCCCAGATAGTGGCTCAATGCCATGGATGGGACATTGCTCAAAGTGGGCTGTGGGTGCTTAGGGCAAGTCTCTTCCCAGGAAACCAAGTCCTCAAGATCATCCTCCCTTGGCTTTTATTTGTTCATTCATCAACACTCAAGACTTTTTAAGAGCCTGCTATATCTTAGGCATTGTGCTTGGTGCTTTGTTGGGGGTTAGGGGCGGGGAAAATTCAGAGCTTAATAGGAAATGACCTCTGTTCCACTGGAGCTCACTCTCTAGTGAGAAAGGTGGACATATAGAATAACATCGTAGTCTGCTGTGATGATGGGGCTCTAACTTAGGGCTGAAGGAAGTTCTAGAGGCCCAGAGAAAGCTGTGACCAACCCCATGTGGGGAATCTAGGAACAAGTGACTAAGGAGGTGACATTTGAATTCTAACCTGAAGGATGACTAAGGCTTCTCCAGACGGGTAGGAGGAAACTGCATTCTAGTTAGAGGAACAGTACATTCAAAGTGGGAGGGATGAAATATTGTATTGTTTTCTGAGAATATGGAGTTCATAGAAGCTAAACATAAAGCTATGTTGGAGGAAGGCATGGCACTTTTGTCATTCAGGATCCGGTACTCAGAGCTGGCATAGCCAGACCTATGACCAAAACTATCTGCCCTCAGATCTTCGTATCTTTTGCCCTATGTCCTTGAAACAAAAGACAACTGTGTCTGGATGCTGTGAAAGGTGGAAACTGCATCAGAGAACAGGGAGGATTTCAATGGTTAAGGCACTTAGGAAAAAGAAATTAAACAACTTGTCAATTCCTTCCTCTCAGATAGCATAAATGTCATAGATCCTTGATAAGAAAGTAGTGCTAAATGTCCATTTTCTTTGTTCTAATTAATGACTCTCCAGCTAGTTCTGAATTAGCAAGGATTTCCAACAGTTATGCATGGCAGCTGAGGAACACTTTTGCAAAATTAAACAATTTATTTTACTCTTAAATTTGTATATATGTAGGCTGAGACATAATCCATATGACCAGGGTGATACAGATTCAGCTAAGTGAGCATTAAAAACTGGCATCATAAATAGTTTAACTTTCTAAAAATATGAATAGGATTTCATTAAATTTTAAACAGTATTTACTTAAAATTTTGTAACTATTAATTATAACCTATTTTCAGTTCCCTTTTAAATTTTAATTAATAATCTTTGCTATCCAAAATATTTTTGAAGCAATATTTTTTAAATTATATCGAAAGTAGTTTAAATTTTTGAATTTTTATATTTGTTTTCATTTATATTTTAATGAAAATATGTTCCAATTTTATACATGTTGAATACAGTTAACTATTTGTTTTATAATCCTTCAGATCAGCACTGTCCAGTAGAACTTTCTGCTGGGATGGAAATATTCTATGTCTGTGCTGCCAATGGTAATCACTGGGCATGCAGATACTGAGCTTGTGAAATATGGCTACTGTGACTGAGGAACTTTTATTTTTTATTAAATTTTGATTGATTTAAATTTAACTATACACATGTGGCTACTGGCTATTCTATTGGGTGGCACATTTTTAGATTACTGAAAATAACAATCTAGATAATAATATAAATAGAATTTCTTTCTGAGAACTAGAGAAATAGGATTCCTGAAAGATAGAAACTGTGTCTTTAAGGATGGAGAAGGGGTGCTTTTGTTGTGATGATTCCCTTCTTATTGTTGACTTTCATAGTTATTGAGAACATAGATTACTAATATTCTGTCAGCTCAAATATGTCTAGGTTTTCCAATTGTTAAGATGTTTAGTGGGCTAACTCCCTGGACTAATTGACAAAGGAAACCTGGGAAAGACAGGTGGTATCTGGGTGTCTGGGAAACATTGGAAAACAAGACCAGGAGTTTTCCTTACTTGGATCCCTTAAACATAGTCTCCCTGAATTTTAAGGTCTCATAAATTTTTGAAGGGCATTTAAATCCACATATTCATAATCTTTCCACTCTTCATATATAGGCATCTCTTTTGCATGAGGTGTCTGATGAAGGAAAGGACTCAAAAGGTCTACCTGTCAAGGGAAATTACATCTCCATCCATATCCATATCTATATCTGTAGCTACTTGCCCAAAGTCTTTCTGACTTTCAAATATGCAATTTAAAACTTGTTATCAATGAAAAAATCTAGACTAGACCTATCTTTGAAGGTGAGGACATATAAAGGAGCAAATCAAATGTTTAGTATCTCTGAAATGACTGCTAGGTGCAACATACCATTTGTTAAGGTGTTTTTCTTTTAGTTATCTGATTAACATAAAATTTTATATTATAAAAGAACATAATACCATGATTATGGAATAAAAAACCACCCACAAATTTACTATCTTTATAAATCACGTATTTCCATTTTTCCCGTCTTTTCCAAAAATGTGTATTTCTCAGAGTATTAGACATGCAGCACAAATATAACTTTGCATTCTAATGTTTTTCATAAGCATCACACAATGAGCAATTCCAATGTAGTCTTTATAATAACATAGCTAAATGGCTTCAAAATAGTACATTTGTGAATATATTGTCATTTATATCAGCATCTCAAAATTACATTATATCTAATTCACTTTTGTATCAGCATTCCAAATTTACGTTTTATCCAGTTTACTCTTCCTTTGGCTACTTTTCTGTTGTTCCTTTTCCTGGTCTTGGACTATTTTCTTAGAATAAATTTCCAGTAGTGGAATTGTTGGTTCAGAAGAGATGAGAACTTGGTAAAATTGTGAGTTATTATCCTCTCTAATTTATTTACTTTTGATCACATTTAAATCCCTTATTTAAGCAAACTAACTTATTAGTTCACCAACTCACTAACTAGCTCAATGTCTCAGTTTCCTGATTTGTTGTTCTCTTCACATCCAACTGGTTCACAGAGTTGCTCCTTCCTGACAATGAGCCTTATAATTGTTCCTTCCTGTCAATGAACCTCTAGTTCACACTTCTTTACACAAATAAGTTGCAGTGATAATTTTTGCCCTGAAGCGTGATCACTTCAGAGAGCTGTTGTCTAGCTTTAAGGAATTCCCATCTGCAAAAGTGTCCATGAGACACAGTTTCAGTGATTGTGAAAGGAACTTACTGATAAGCCAGGTAAAGACTGGGATCCTGGCCATCTGCTCTTTCTGTTTCTTACCAATTAAATCTCTGCCAAGACACCTTGGGCTCTGCCACCAACCTGTCCTACCAGCTCTTGCCAAAGTGCAGGCAACCATGTGAACATGGGCATGAGCATTCACTGTACACCCACTCTGGCTAGAACTGGCCTAGATCCCATAAGGGACTCCTTGGACACTAAGATGCAATCTTTACCCTCAAGAACCTAGTAGACTGAAGAGATAAGATATATATACTTTAAGAATATGGCTGAGGTTCTATGATTCTATAGAGGTTTAGAAGATATGAATAATATCATAGACCCTAAGTTGGGCCTAGAAGGACAGATAGAATAGAAAGGGCATAAAGGAGTATAGAGGGCATTTAGTTTGGAGACATTAATTTCTTCATCATTCAGTTGATAATCATCTATTACATACCAGGCCCTGAGCTAGGTTCTGAGGAAACAGATGAGTTAAATAACATCCCAGTTCTTCAGGAGATCACAATACTGTGGGAGACATACTCATAACAAAATCATCACCATGGTGTAATGCACACTATCACAGAGGAATTGATAAAACATTGTTAATGCAATGGCCATATCTGCCTGTCTCGCAGAGGAAACTTCCCTCCAACCAAAAAGATTTGTCATATTTTATGAAGATCACATGAATAAAATGGGAGATAGCTGTAGCAAAGTGGAAAGAAGAATCTGCTTAAAAGAACCTGGTGTTTATTTGACTCTGCTACTTTCCACCTATGTTATTGTGACCAGGTTCCTCAAAAGCTCTGGGCCTCTGTTTTGTCATGTGTAAAATGGAGAACACAATACTTCTGCAGGGACTGAAGGAAGATTGAAAGAGAAAGAAGTTAATAAAGGGCCAAGTAAAAGAAGTTATCATCACCATCATCAACAACAACACTGAAAACACATATGAAAGCACTTTGGAAACTCTCTAGCCCAGTATAAATGAGCAAAGTTATTGGTGTGATGACTTAATAGTTACCACAATTTACCTGTCCTCATCATCCAAGCTCTTGGTTACATCTGGACACAAAAGGATGTGGCTATAAATAAATGGGGTTTACTTCTGGCACTCACCACATCTTTTTTCTTTGGGTAAATCCCACCTTGGAAAGTCTCAGAATGTTAACTTTGCATTTTTAAGTTCTCCTGAACATGGTTATGAACATTTTCTTTTCTTTAAGGAAATTAAATCATGTAGAGTCCACTAAACCTAAGACTGTTTAAAATGCATGGAGAGTTGGCTACATGCCTGGGGTTCACCTATTCATCCAGGCATTACTATACAGGCCATTTATTTCATAATTTCTCACGAGAAGCTGTGGCAATAGCCAGAGAAGACACAGGTGACAGATGAGTCAAAGAGACAGGGTGACTCAGAGATAACCATCTCAGCCCCACCCCCAGCCCCCAACTGTCATTCTTAAGCTTTCTAGATTCCACAGAGATTTATACCTTTGTTTGGATATTGCTTCAAGGAGATTAAAGGATCTGTATTCCTGGAAGCCTCTTTTTCTGTTTCTTTCCTGGGGCTCTTCAGACCATGCTCCAATTCATTCCTTTGTAATGAGAACAACTCAGATTCCTTGAGAATTTATTCTATGCCAAGAATTGTACTCTGTCTTTTACACTCATCATCTAATTTACTCCTCATATCATCACACAGGTACAATAGTTATCCACTCTTTACAGATGAAGAAACTGTAGAATAAAGAAAGTAAGTAACGAGCAAAGGTAAGTCCAAGAATACCTGGTAGAGCTGAACCTAGATTGTCTAACTCCAGAGCCCATGCCTTTGACCGTTCTATAATTTTGCCTTCATCAGATAGGAAAGCCTAGAACCACCAAGCTGTCACCTCAATTGTGAATCAACGTTGAGTACTGTCTTAGGGTGGGCTTCTTGTAAAATAAGAACTGTGGAGGAGAAGAAATCAGCTGAAGGAAGTTCTAGGCAGCCTTCTTCCTTGGTGGGCAGTTGAGAACACCTGGCTCAGGGAACATGTCCTACATAGCTCCGACTGGTGGTTTGAGAAGGTCTGTGGTTTACCGTAGTAGGAAGAGAGAACAACATTTTTGGAAGAGGAAGAGCCAAGCTGTTCAATGAGTCGCTTCCAGACTCCACCAGCCTGTATTCCTTGCACCACACTTAATTTAACCTTGAGAAAAATGTGAGGAAGTTTATCATCACATACATAGCTCTGATCATGTCTTTCACTGCTGAAAAGCCTCCAGTATGATTTGGAATGGCCCCGATCAGCAGTCTCCCAACTTCTCTGAATACAATGCCCCACAGGTATAAAAGATTTGTCTGGGAAGCCAAATAGATACATAATACGTGTGTGTAAAACCATGCTATTGCAGACATTATAAAAATAAATAAAAAATAGAAATTATAAGAGAAAAGATAAATATAAAATAAAGAATACTTTAAAATGTTTGCTAATCTTCATAACAGCATACTATCTTTTCTACTACCTCAAGACATAGTCAACACTCTTACCAAAGTTTATCATTAATAATAGTGAATGTAAACCCATATTTCAAGCATTCTTCCTGAGAAATATTTTTGTTGTACTGCTTGTTATATCTGATTAGGTCATCATTGGCTTTAGCCCCTGAAATGTAGCCAGTGGAAAGCCAGGAATAGGAGAAAAGTCAGCTCTGCCTTTTTCTTGTTCGTTTGTATTTGTTATAAGTATTATTCTCAATCCAAAGGTTCTTTGAAGGAATATTTTAAAACTACTTGTCTATTCTGTGAGGCTTTATTTACTTAAATCTAAGTAACCAATCCATAAATCCAAGACACTCACTAAATGAGAATGGCAGTCTAGGTACCTCGTGGACTCTCTGGGGCAAAGAATCTTCGATCCTTCAGAATAACCTCAGTTGGAGATGTGGCATGAAATTATTGGATATGGGGATCCAAGGAATGAGGGATAGAATTTATATATGAATTAATAGGAGTGTATATAATAAATAATAGGAATTTTAAAAAATGTTTTATGTAAATAAAAGTAAATGTAAATAAAGAGTCTAGTATGATTTGCACACCCTCCTGAGAGAATGCACTTTTGGGGGAAAACCCCTTCTCTACCAAGATTTGATTCCTTCACCTTCTAAGATCAGTGACCTACTTCTTTAGCCGTACCGCCAACCATCAACAACCCCTCCCACTCTCATGATTACCCATACACTGCACTATACAAACAAACACATAGGATTGGTCAGATTTCTCTGAAAACTTTCTTCGCTTGGGCCTTTGTTCATACTGTTCCCTCTGCTTGAAACACCCATGCTTTTCATTGTTATCTTTTGACAATTTTACTCTTAATTGAGGCTCACCTCAGGCTCAATCTCCTGAGTGAAATAATAACAATATCAACTAACATTTGTTGACCTCCTACTACCTGAGGGATTCAGCATTATCTTCACAACAATTCTAGGGGATCTGTACTATTATAAGAAAGCTGGGGGAAAGAGAACTGCCCAAAGCCACACAGTTTCGGGGAGACAGGGAACCAAACCCATGGAGACCTGAAATTCCTACACTCTATCACTGTATGTGTGTTTCAATTTAATTTTATTTGTTTGAACTGGTAAAGCCTTCACTAAAGCCTCCCTCTCCTCCTTTTAGTGAGGAGATGGAATTAGTTACTCCCTTCTTGAGTTTCCACAGAAGCTTGTTTGTCAATTTCATGTAGTACTTTTTTTCATTCTGACATATATTGCTATTATATGTGCACATCTCTCATATCCCAACTATACTGTGAGCTCTTCAGACAAGGGACTACTTTGGATTCTTCACAGCGCATAGGAGAGAATGTGTAAATATGGTCATCAAATGAATGAATTAAAGGTCCTAGGTTGGATATAATTTTTTAAATTTATTGTTGAAAGTACTATACATGTCTCCTTTGTTTTCCCCATTGACCTCCTCCTCCGAACTCTTGCCCCCTTCCCAGGCTTTCACCGAACTATTGTCTGTGTCCATGACTTAACTTGTTATTTTCCTTGTGGTCTGAGATGCAAACTACAAAGGTATATGGGTGTGGGCCTATGCTATATTACAAAGATTGCAATATTTATAAAAATACTGGAGTTATACTCTTTAATATATATTGACTGGTTGATAGAGACTCAAACTTATATTTATATAATCTAAATTTTAAAAAAACTGAGACCAATAAAAAGCCATCACCTTACAAACTACCATTGAACATCTTAGATTACTAGAGAAGGATATGGGGGCAGGTCATTCTAAAGTTGACAATAGTTAATGCAGTTTAGAGAAGAAACTGTAGCTCATTTAATCCTGAAAATAACATACCCACAACACACAGCAGTTTAAGAATTTTTCCTTTTTTCATTTTACTGATTCAGAAATTGAGACTTATAGCCAAGAAATGGCAGAGCCCATACACAAACCCAGACTTTTGGACTCATATACTTTAATCTTTGGTCACTCTTTTCCTCAACACAAAATGAATCCTAGAATGTCAGACATTTGAGCTATCAGAAACTCTTTACCTTGGGCATAGAATAAATAGCCTTATTTTGGTGTTTTTGAAATTCTGCTCTGGAGAAGCCTGCTGTCTTGAGGATTGTGCATGGCAGGGAGGGACTAGGTGATTCTAATCCCTGGATGACTAAACAGAATCCCAGTCCATCTGTGATAAATATCCCTTCCAAAGGCCACAGGTGTGTACAACAGACTGTGTGTCTTTCTTTTCCACCTCAGTGCTAAAACCATCATAGAAGCCTTTCATCCTTTGCTCAATTAATCCTTCATTTTTTATTTTTTTATTAATGTTTTACTGCATCTTTCTGTGGAGTAAAACAGCAGCACTCTGATAAGCTGTATAGTAAAATGGACTGGCTTTATGTACCTACTGGAGGCAAGGAAGCCAGACCAAGGGCTTCTTTCCTTGTCCTCAAAGGCTGGAGGGAACAAAGGCAAAACCCAATGACTGAACGCCACCTATACCACCTTCCTTGAACATGGTATCAATACCTGGACAGCAGCAACTATAGGGTTCCTTGAAGAGAAGGCCATGGAAGCCACCTTCAAGTACATTCTATTTTTAAAAAGGGGGTGTAAGTGAGGGGGTGTAAGCTAGGTTTACTTTGGTGAGTCCCTAGAAGAAAAATTAAAAGCAAGCAGCTACCTATTCCTTATAAGGCTGAGCTTTCTGATAGAAACATACAGCAAAAAAATGTGCTACCTTCTGGAATAGTGAGCTTGCTGTCATTGGAAGCATTCAAGCAGAGGCTGGACCATCCCTCCTTGAGAGTAGTGTATAGAGCATATATTTAGAGAGTAGATGGTTTGGCTAGATAAATGCTAAAATACCCCTCTGAGCAATGGCATTTTGTGTTCCTCTAAATATTTCACACTTGAATGCCTTAGGACAGTGGTCAGCAAACTGCGACCCCTTGAGTGTGGCTCTTCCACAAAATACCACGTGCGGAAGCGCATGTACAGTGTGATTGAAACTTCGTGGCCACACTCAAGGGGCCAAAGAGCAGCATGTGGCTCGTGAGCCACAGTTTGCCAACCACTGCCTTAGGAGATATATTCAGACAAAGCTCATCTGTTCTGTAATACTTGGCTACGGTACAACGCCTGCTGCCTGGTCACAGAGCATTTCATAGGCAGCTGTTACCACCCCTATTTCAGAAATGTGGTGAAAAGGGAATTCAGAGACAGGTGAGGGGCCTGCCACCACATGAGCAGGTGGGAAGAGGCCCCCAGCTCCGGAGCTGTCTAATGCCTGCACACTTCTCAACTGGATCTTAAATCAGTGGTTGTCAACCATGTGCAGTGATCCCACCACCCCTGGGAACTCCTAGAGTTTTCCCCTTCTAGTTTATAAAGTCACACAATTCCAGTGTTTGAGTCTTTGAAGTCACAGAGTCAAGCTCTCTGGGATCCACAGGAAAGCAATGTTTCCCACTGGCTCTAACTGAGAACTAGAAAGTGGAATGAGCTCCATGGAATCCAAAGGAATTCTGTCTGGGCCCGGGGAGAAACAGGACAAAGGTCACAACCACATCTTCTGCCAGCTTTTTCTGAGGAAGCCAGTCTTCATGGAGGGAAAGGGCTGAGTTCCAGGAGTAGGAAAAACAATATAGTTTGTTAAGATTGCAAGCTCTTGGAGCAACAATAAACAATAATGACACAGTTTTAGGAATCTTTCTCTGGAAAGGTCTCCGTATTTCACAGATGGGGAAGCAACAGGATCTATGAGAAAGCAACGAACTGGTAATCAGAAAATCTGTGCCACCACTGTCTTGCTGTGTGACCTCAGCATAATACTTAACCTCTCTGAGTCCTGGTTTCCTTACAAGGATGACAATTTGCACCTAGGCTTGATTAGAGGGTCAGATGAGATCATGAATGTGAAGCACTTTGTAGCTGGTAGCATTAGACAAATGGGAAGGGTTAATATGATTGTGCCTGCTTTATATACTTTTCCTGAAGTGAGTTGATGTTATTGCTACAGTATCCTCTATTTCCAGGAAATCAAGAGACAGAGATGTGAAGTGACTTGGGTGCCTGGACTAAAAGATGAAGTCTCCCTACTTCACCATGCCTGACCATGGCCTGGTACTTTCTCTCCTTCTGAGAATGATACTATTACATAACTGTTTGGGGAAGCCCCCAGACCAAGGACACTTCCTTCTGCCCAGCTGTGTGAGACATTCTTGGGTGGAATCGGGAAGATGGCCACTTTCACATCAACTGGGGAGGCCCAAGACCTACCTTTCTTCTCCCACACTCTCACTGCCCACACCCTGCTCTTCATGTGGTCTCTGCTATTGAGCAAAGGGTGAATGAGGGAAGTAATCTCTGGTCTCTCTCTGGTTCTCTGCCTCAAAGACTGTCCCAGCCATCATCTACCCTACACCCCTGTCCCCAAAGCACTTCCTTTTGCTTCTCCATCAGTGTGGCCTCTTCTGTGAAGTTCTCTAACCATGGGTTTCCCCAACACCTCCTCTCTATCAACAGGCTGCCCCTCATCATCACCTTCATCTCAGAAAATGAGACAAAAAAGACATTCAAGTGACTCATCAGTCCACATAGCAGGAGCAGAAGCAGAGAGAGTGAGTTTGTAGGTCCAGATGAGGATTT